CTATTTGAAATTTCAAAGAGTTTGGGGTTTTGAATTTGTCTTTATTTAAAATGTTCCTTTTCTCTCTTTGTACATCATAGTTCTTTTCAGAACTTCCATCCACAGCACTGTGTTCTGTAAATGAAAATGAGGGAGAAATGGAAGGATTCGATGCCAAAAATCTAGCAGGGCTACCATGCCCACTGAGACATGAATCGTGTTTCTTCACTCTGCACTCACTGTCCTAAGATGGTTTCTGATTGATCATCTGTGTATTTTCATGAAATATGACCAGGTCTAAATGGTATAGTCAGACTAACAGTTTCAGTTATAATACAGATTCAACATAACCAAGATAAAATATTAGGGAACTTGATCCATTTTTGAGAATTCAATAAGATGTATGCCATATAATTCAAGTTTAATCACATGAAAACACACTCCTTCTGTTTTAATTAAACACATATATACAGTACACTGGGATAGTGCTCAATGTACCTGAAGTTTCAGGAAATTTAATCTCTGGAGAGGTCCACGGCCAAGGCATGAGCCAAGCCTACTGGAGGCGGTCTCGTCTGAGAAGTTGTTTGGTTTACCCATTGTTAAGATTGTTAAGTAACGAACCGCCCCCAAAAGTCTGTGGCTTTTATTTGTTCACAATTTTTTGCATCATAAGTTTAGGCAGGGAGGGGGAGGACATTTCTTTTGCTCTTTGAGACATAGGCCACGGTCATTAAGTTATAGTTAGATGGCTTCATTTGCAAGTCTGTGACCTTGGAGGAAGAGCTGCAAAACCTATCTCTGTTTCCCACTTGGCCAAACTTGGGTTCTTGACACGTGACTGGATTCCATAAGAGCTCTCCCAAGAGGAGCACAGGTGGAAGCTGCAGATAAAGGCCTAGCCACAAAGGTGCCATCAGCATTCTTGCTGCATTCTCCTGGTCAAATCCAGGCAAAGGGCCAGGCCAGATGCAAGGGAAGGAAAATAAACCCCACCTCTCCATAGGAGAAGCAGCAAGAATTTGTAGTCATCTATAATCTACCAGAATCTATCCTTTGACCATAAAATATTATATTCTCTGACGTGCAAACTACACTTACTTTCTCCCAAGATTCCATAACTCGCATCTCATTATGGTGTCAGGGTCTAATGCAAAGACTAGGATCTCACGATCTAAGTTGGACACAGGTAGACCCATGAATTAAAAAGACAAGCCAACTGCCTTCCACACACATAGTATCTGCAGCAGACACTACAAACCCGCAGGGGGAAAGGGGAAGCATGTAGCGATTGGAACGCAGCCATGCCTGCCCTGCAATTCCTCCTGCTCACTGAAGAAACCCTAGATCTCCCCGCTGGGAGCAGCTCTCCTCCACACGTGGCTTCTCCCTTCAAGCTTTTGGTTCTACCCTCTGAATCACCTTTCCTTTTCTATAAGAAATAGTCTATGCTTTCAACTAGGTAGTTTTCTGACAGCCCTCAGGACATTGGGGGAAAGGAGACTTCTTTCCGTGTTGCACTGTCTTGATCTTTTTCAGGCTAAACTGATTCAGCTTCTTAAACAACTCTGTGGGATTTCAGGATATAAAATTATCATCCAACCCACCAGACAAAAGTTCTGCCTACGTATCTCTGTGCTACGAGCCTTCTCTCTGCTTTAGCTATAAATCAGAGTTCCATGGGCAAATGCTCTTAGGAGTCTTAGGAGAAACTTGTCTAGCTCAGGAGGAACAAGCACCTTTTAACACATTCTCTGATCTTAACAAAGGGTTTTGTATCCATGTCCTTGACTCGACCTGAAACCTGAAGCCATGTGGTCCTGGCGGCATGCGTCTTTGATTTTTGTCTGAGCCACCTCTTACTTTCAGAACCTTCTGCCCACTGGACAGGCTAGAAATGAGAAATAGTTGTATTTTCTAACCCAACAAAATCTAAGTTGGAATACTTTCTTTAAATCCTACTTAAAAATCCATTTCTTTTTAAATCAGTCTTTCTCCACACTTTATTATCAAGAACTCAAAGAAGCCTGCTGGCACTTAGAACATTCTGCCTGGGAATTTCCTTAGCCAAATTCACAAGTTCATTAGGTCCATGTTGTATCTTCTATGTTTCTGCTAGTATTAGTTTTGCCAAACGTTCTTCAACTACAGAATGCAGGTCACCATTTTCCCAGGCTTGAATGGCAATTTTCTTACCACCTTCCCGGTCTGCAATAAATTTTCTTGCTATTTTTTAAGTTTCTGTCCAGCAAAGCCAACACCATCTGCTTTGGGTTTGTTATTGAAGCATCCCACTTCTTTTTTTATTTTTTTAAAAATATTTTGAGACAAAGTCTTGCCCTGTCACCCAGGCTGGAGTACAATGGTGCAGTTTTTGCTCACTGCCTCCCACTTCTGATACCAAATTCTGTTTCACTTTTTCTATTGCTACTAACAAAGCACCTCAGAACATCGTGGCTTAAATTATTCATAATAGTTCTTCATGTGGCCAGGAAGTTCTCCCACTTTATGTGGTGTTATAGGAAGTGCTGGGATGACTGGAGGGTTCAGAATATTCTCACTGTCATGGCTGGCAATTTATACTGATCCCTGGCTTGGGTTCAGACTGCTGTGGACTAGGGCTTCTCCAGGTGGCAGTTTGAGCTTTGTCCTGACGTGGAGGTTGGGTCCTAATAATGGACATTCCTTGAGGTGAATGCAGAAGCTACAGCTCTTGTGAAGCTCGTCCTCAGAAGCCACACAGAGTCATTCCCATCACATTCTGTTGATTAGAACAGGTCAAGAGTAACCGAAAGCAAAGGGAGATGAAATAGTTTCCCTCTTACTGTGGAAAAGACCAAGTGACATTGCAAAAATGTATGTTGGATGGAAGATGTGGTGTAATCATCTTTGGAAAGAGCTAGGGATGAGGTGATTGAAACGCAGATGTTATAATACATAGTATTATAACATAGTATTATATGTATTATAATGCTATGTATTATTATGGGATGAGGTGAATGGATTCTGTATGTGAGAAGAACATGAATCTGGGGGGATCAGCAGCCACAGTATTATGGGTTGAATTGCATCTGCCCCAAATTCACGTGTTGAAGTTTTAACTCCTCATACTTCAGAATGTGACCTTATTTGGAAACAAGGTCATTGAAGATATAATTAATTAAGATGAGGTCCTACTGGTGTAGGATCAGTCTCTAATCTAATACTGTTGTCCTTATGGAAAAGGGAAATGTGGACACAAGTCTCTGGACGCAGGGAGAACATGATGTGATGATGGAGGCATAGATCAGGGTGAGGCAGTAGAAGCCCAGATACTTCAAAGATCACCAGCAAGCCTCAGGGAGCTGTGAAGAGGCCTGGGACAGATTCTCCCACACAGCCCGGGGAGGAGCCAGTCCAGCGGACATCTGACCTCAGACTTCAGAACAGTGAGAGAATAGCTTTCTGTTGTTTCCACCTCCCAGTTTGTGGGACTTTTTCACAGCAGCCTCAGGAAACTGATACAGTCAGCTATAGGCCTTGTTTTGAACCTCTATCCAGGTAGAATAGAAAAAAAAAAAAAATTAGCCAGAGTCTTTGGAATTCTTCAAGGATTCCGGTTAATCAAAGTGGCTAGAATTTTCACCCAAAAAAACACTCAAATATTTTCTTTTCTGAGGCAGTTTCTGCCACCTTTTATTCCAAAATCATATGTGGTATTCTCATCAGGAATAATCAGGAATCTGGCACACGTGTGTGACTCTGTGTGTGTGTATGTGTGTGTGTGGTAGTTTTTAAAAGACCACAAAGTGTAGCCATTCTCAATCTCCTACATTAGAAAGGCTTTTTCACTGACACTACTGCTGGTTCTGATTTAACGCTGCTGCGTGTGACAAGTGCTAAGGCCTCAACTACCTCTCCTTTAGAGAAAACTCCTCCAGAGAGCCAGGATCGGCCAAGTGGGTGCATTCACACTCACAGCTTCACGTGCACAGGTAACTGGTGGCCACTGTTATTTTGGGAAATAACAGGAATTTTTGTACTGTCTTATTCTGGTTTCCCAAGTAGCTGTTTTGCTAGTTTACCAAAAAGTGCTGCTGTTATCTCATGCCCATGCAGTATGCTAAAACTCCAGTATAGATGTTGGAATATGTATGAGGAGATGACGAAGATTGATCTGTCCATGGAGGACTGAAATGTGAGCATCTGCTGTAATGGCACTAAAAGGAATTAGACTCATCAACTATAGTGATTCATAATGATAGCTGTGTTTGCTCTTAGAATATTAAGGGAATCAACCATCCACTTAATTGCCAAAAGGACTTTTTTTCTTTTTTACCCTACAACATTGCTCTCTCTCATTCTCTCAATATGTAGATTTCTATGTAGATATAGCCCAAAATGCTATTACTGGCTCAAGCATAAATGGAGCAAAGAAAAATTAACATGAGCTAATATCTTTGATTAATGCTAGTTTCTATGTCTGAACTTAGGAGCATAAATATCCCTTTAAAAGTAATGCTGTCTTCAAATAAGATCAAATCAAATTACAAGGCACTTTGTTAATGAAAAGTATCGATCTATATAGCATTTGGTCCAAACCATTGCCAATTTTCAATTTATGTGATATCCCTCTTAGCAATGAGCCTTTCTTCCTTGAATATACAGAGGTCCTTCTCTTTCTCCTTCACTAGCTTCTCACTCCCCTCCTCCTTTCAAGCTTCAGGCCTCAGTTATTTTCTCATTACATTCCCTTGTTTGGCAATCCTATTTATTTCTAAAATGCTAGCAGTCACTTTTTGGCCAATGACTCCCAAATCTTAATAAGGTGCTACCACTCTTTCCAATGTACTTACCCAAGTAAACCTATCTTTTCCAACCTGATGGGGTTTTTGCTCTCTACTTTTTCATTCACACAGTTTTAAGCCTCTACTCAAGCCTTCCAAATCTTACTACCCTTAGAAATCATGCTGAAGATCCAGGTCACAGTTCCTAACTCCTTTCTGGTTCATGATATGCTTTTTCCTCCTCTTGTACACCAGAATGCATCAGCTACTCATGTGAATATTGGCCCTACTACACCTCAGGAAGTAGAATTCGATGACTGAACACGACATTTTCAGAGAGTACAGGAGATGAGGTAAGTTAAGTAAGGGAGTTGGAAGGAAAGTAAACATGGGCCAGCCAGGATGACCCAATCAATTGTAGCAACTATTAGGTGACAAGTATCTCTGGAAGATCAGACATCCTGCCTTAGAATTAGCTTCACCATTGAATTAGACCACCATGTGGCACCTCATATGTTTTATTGAGAATTTCTATTTAGATCTAGTGATCTTACTTAGCTTTAGCCTGTTTATATTTTGTCTCCCCAGTGAGATCATAACTCTCAAAAGGTTTAATGAAAGTTTTCCAATACTCCTGAGAGGGTATAGATCTACTGGTCAGTAAAGTAATACAGATTCACCCAGAAGATATTCCATTTCAGCAGTGGCTACTTGGATTAATTTCATCAACCACCAGACCTAGTAATTGAGGTGCCATCATAACTGGAGTGAAAATATTCCATTAAACTAAGTGAGTAATAGTGGCAAGCAAAAAAAGTGAAATGGAAAAGCTATCATTTGTGGCTATTTGAACCCACTAGTTAAATGAGTGTGCTGAAATCATGGACTTCTTTATCATCATAACAGATAAGAACGTCTAGAACTAGCTCAGAATCTCCGTTGATGGCACTGCCATAAGGACTGTTCCTTGGCAGCAAGTGACAAAGATACTGGTTTAACTTTACTTCTGGAGTAGAACACAATTTCGTAGAAAGCCCCCTTCAAAAACTGTAATTTTTATTTAAAAATAAAATATAAAGTTATCTTCCTGGACAAGTAGTAATGTCTTTGTGTGTTAGGGCAGCCGATGTCCAGGAACAAACAAACAAAAATGTTAATCAACTTACAACAAAGATATAGTACCTTTGAAAGACCTTAGATGGAAATTAACTGTAGTAGGCTACAGCTCCCATTTCTGTCTGAGAGGAAAGTAGGTCTTTGAAAAACAGACAAGAATGTGCATTACAACTTTTGTACATATTTGTTTTTTCCTCCCCACAGATATATATGGTTTGGTTAATTGAACAAAATAAGTTGTATTATGTGGTCAACATAATAATAGTCCACTATAAACTAAACCTTGTTTACAGTTTACAACTATTTAAACTATAAACTAGTTTATAGTTTACATGGATGAATAATAAGAAACAGAGAATCAGAAAGTGAAAATGACTAACAACAAAGCTTTTCCAAGAGAATAGGGAAATAGGAATGGAGGGAGGTGGTCATCAAATGAAAGCCACCGAGATTTCCAAACCCTGCTTCTGTTTCTACACCAGTGGACTTCTTGAATATTGGATGAAATGGATAGGTTTGGGGGTCCAAGGATCGATGTCAATAACACCTTACTCAATGTAGACATTGTGCTCAGCAGTCAGGAATATTGAGGTAGTTTCTCACGTTTGTAATTCGAGAAGATGTGTGATTGTTGAATAATTATACAATGAATATATATATCACTTGGCTACATGTTCCCTGTATCTTTCTTAAACAGTCTGTTAGGCTGGAATTCCCACTGCAATGATGAGTGATGATTGTTACTATGACTCGGCTGAGGCCATGCTGCACCCTGGAACGATCCCTTATGGTTTCAGAGGCTTGCTGAATATCAGGTGCCAGTGAGCAGGTAAATCTCACAGACATATGGCCCATTTGTCACCTGAGGCAGAGGGACTAGATCTCCTTTTTAACTCTCATAAAACATGTTTTGGGACCTAGACATTTTTGATGCATAAATCTTGGGCACTGAAAGTTCAATTTTGTTCTCTTGACTCTGCAGTTATTTCAGGCCATATGCCACTGCTGCTATTTCCAGGATGACAAATGAAGGGAGTGAGGATGATGGGGAGGAGAGGGTAGCCAGTGAGTTCACACATAGGAAACAATGGTATTTTTACATTAAATGTTTGTCATGCTTTCATGTCGGGGATAAATCACTCTAACAACCAAGGAACAGAAACCATTGCCCAAAGACAGAACCCGCAAGATCAGTGAGTTATGAAGTCATCGCTAGAAATGATCAAGGCTGAAATTCTTTTCACAGTACTCAGTATCTTCTGCAGTTGTTATTGTTGTTCCTCCTGTGCTGGAAAATCTTCAAAAATAAGGAATGTGCGGGGGTCACTTCATCCCCACTTAAGACACCACTCTGCCTTCTCAAAACATTTTTATTTTGTTGAAACAAAATCTTCCCCTTTCCAACTTTCATTTCTCCATAAAATAGGAATAAATTCTTGATAAAAATTTGAAATATTCCTGAAAAAAATAAACTTTGGTGATAAGAAAAGAAAAATGGGTAACTAAAGTACACAGAACTCAAAAGGATTTTTTTAAACTGGGAATCTCATTAATGATGGACATGGACATCACCTCATAAAGATCTAGAGCTTTTTTCAACAGATCATTGCAGAAATGGAGCAGGGGGAAGCATCTCACCTAAGTATGGTTTATGGGAGATTTAAGTGTGCAAGCTCCCTAGCTGTACCCACAAATTTAGAAATAGAAGGTGAGGTGATTCTGGCTCTCTCCTATACAGAGTTCATTAGCAAGCCCCTGCCAGAATTAACTTTCCTTGGCTTCCTTGTTAGACTAACATTGTTTCAAACCTTGAAGTTAACCCGAAAAATTGGTTTTCAACCCAACTTGTTTTTAAAATGTCATCTTTTCTCCCTCATCTTGGCTACCAACCCTTCCTTCAATGGCTCCCACTTCAGAGGGGTAAAAAAAAGTTTCAAAAAATGCATATTCAAAGGTCCCACCACAAATACAAATTCCCACCCCCCAACCAAACAAAACGAGAAGAGAAGAAAGACAAGAAGTGAAACCCAGTGGATTTATTTTATTCCAGGTGCCTGGTTTTCATGAGTCTGGCCATGACGGTCAAGTCTTGTTCTGTTTGGCAGAACATAAGCCACTGGATATATGCCATATATGTGCTCACTTGCAGAACTCAGGAGGGCAGGACAGAGATGAACTCCTCTTGCCTCCTTTGAAGAACACCCCATGCTTAATGACTCAGCCCTCTTAATGCATCTTAAAAAGCATCATCTGTAGGCTTACAGTTTAAAAGGTGGGAAATACAGACCTGTGAATAAGCTGGATTACTATAAGCCGGTACTCACCATGTGATCCCTGGGCCAGCAGCTTCAGGCCACCTGTGACCTCGTGAGAATTGCAGACCATCAGAAGGCCCCTAGACCTCCTACCTCAGCACTTACAGGGTAGAGCCCAGCAATTTGTGTTTGGGCTGCACTCCAGGAGATTCTGATGTTCCCGCAAGCCGGAGAACCACTGCTCTGGGCCACAGGGAAATTGCAAAAAGCCTTTTCAAGTGGAGTCTAGACTGCTCTTTCCCCAAAAGACAGGAGTTACACAACTCACAGAAGCACAGGATTTCCCAAAGGAGGAGGCTGGAATTAAAAGTTGGAAACCTCACTGCAAATTGCCAAACTTTAAATTTAAATTCTGAGTCTTAATTTTTTATGATAACAAAGCTTGCTGCCGTGGGAATAATAGGATGTAGTTAACTGCCCTCAGTGGCAATATTTCATCTAGGCTTGATGGGGCAATTTGAAAATATCATTAAAGAGACAAGTTGTACAATAGAGCACGGCAGAAGTGTGATTATCTTAGGAGATTAAACTCCCAAACATCATGTGGCTTCTAAATGTGTGTCTCCTATCAATTTAAAACTCATGGCTAATAGCTGAGTTTCCTAACTACCATTTCAGATACATAGGCACCTGCGTCTCCACACATACTTTCTAAAGAGTTTTGAAAGTATCGAAAAATCTTGAATATTTTATCTTTCAAAATGAAGATTTTTTTTTTTTACTAATTTTGACACATACTATTAGGAGGAGGAGGAGGAGGAGGAAGAGAAGGAGGAGGAGGCAGAAGAGGAAAGAAAAGAAAGAAGCAGTCTAGAAACATAAAAGAGTACAAGGAAGGTAAAATTCACCTGAGTTTCCATAATTCAGAGAAAAGCATTATTTCTTGTCATTCATATCTTCCAGAGAGAGAGCTAGTGTATGAGTCGTTTTGCACACTGCTGATAAAGACATACCCAAGACTGGGTAATTTACAGAAGAATTAGGTTTATTGGACTTACAGTTCCATATGGCTGGGGAGGCCTCACATTCACAGTGGAGGGTGAAAGGCACATCTCACATGACAGCAGACAAGAGAAGAGAACTTGTGCAGGGAAACATGCCTTTTTAAAACCATCAGATCTCAAGAGACTTACTCACTAACACAAGAACTGTGCAGGAAAGACCCGCCCCCATAATCCAATCACTTCCCACTGGGTTCCTCCCACGACATGTGGGAATTGTGGAAGTTACAATTCAAGATGAGATTTGGGTAGGGACAGAGCCAAACCATATTATTCCACTCCCGGCCCCTCCAAAATCTCATGTCCTCATGTTTCAGAACCAATCATGCCTTCCCAACAGTCCCCCGAAGGTCTTAACTCATTTCAGCATTAACTCATAAGTCCACAATCCAATGTCTCACCTGAAACAAGGCAAATCCCTTCTGCATTGCTTCACATCGTCTGGCTGCAAATTTTCCAAACTTTTATGCTCTGCTTCCTTTATAAAACTGAATGCTTTTAACAACACCCAAGTCACATCTCGAATACTTTGCTGCTTAGAAATTTCTTCCACCAGACACCCTAAAGCAAATTAGTTACTTCCTAGATACAATGAGGGTACAGGCATTGGGTAGATACAGCCATTCCAAATGGGAGAAATTGGCCAAAACAAAGGGTCTACAGGCCCCATGCAAGTCTGAAATTCAGCAGGGCAGTCAAATCTTAAAGCTCCAAAATGATCTCCTTTGACTCCATGTCTCACATTCAGGTTATGCTGATGCAAGAAGTGGGTTCCCATAGTCTTGGGCAGCTCCACCCCTGTGGCTTTGCAGGGTATAGCCCCCCTCCTGGCTGCTTTCACGGGCTGGCATTGAGTATCTGCAGCTTTTCTAGGCACATGGTGCAAGCTGTCAGTGGATCTACCGTTCTGGGGTCTGGAGGACAGTAGTCCTCTTCTCACAGCTCCACTAGGCAGTGCCCCAGAAGGGTGTTCTACTCCAACCCCACATTTTCCTTCCACACTGCCCTAGTGGAGGTTCTCCATAACAGCCCTACCCCTGCAGCAAACTTCTACAAGGATATCCAGGCATTTCAATACATCCTCTGAAATCCAGGTGGAGGTTCCTAAACTTCAATTCTTGACTTCTGTGCACTCACAGGCTCAACACCACATGATAGTCTCTAAGGCTTGAGGCTTACCCCCTCTGAACCCACAGTCTGAGCTCTTTGTTGGCCACTTTCAGCCATGGCTAGAGCAGCTGGGACACAGGGCACCAAATCCATAGACTGCACACAGCACAGGAACCCTGGGCCTGACCCATGAAACCATTTTTTCCTCCCAGGCTTTGGGGCCTGTGATGGGAGGGGCTGCCATGAAGACCTCTGACATGTCCAGGAGACATTTGCCCCATTGTCTTGGGGATTAACATGCAGCTTCTTGTTACTTATGCAAATTTCTGCAGCTGGCTTGAATTTCTACTGAGAAAATGGATTTTTCTTTTCTATCACATTGTCTGGCTGCAAATTTTCCAAAATTTTATGCTCTGCTTCCTTTATAAAACAGAGTGCTTTTAACAACACCCAAGTCACATCTTGAATGCTTTGCTGCTTAGAAATTTCTTCCGCCAGATACCCTAAATCAAATAATCTCTCTCAAGTTCAAAGTTCCACAAATCTCTAGGGTAAGAGCAAAATGCCACCTGTCTCTTTGCTTAAACATAACAAGAGTCACCTTCGCTCCAGTTCCCAACAAGTTCCCCATCTCCATCTGAGACCACCTCAGCCTGGACCTTATTGTTCATATCACTATCAGCATTTTTGTCAAAGCCATTCAGCAAGTCTCTAAGAAGTTCCAAATTTTCCCATATCTTCCTGTCTTCTTCTGATTCCTCCAAACTGTTCCAGCCTCTGCCTGTTACCCAGCTCCAAAGTCACTTCCACATTTTCAGGTATCTTGTCAGCAATAACCCACTCTCCTGGTACCAATTTACTGTATTAGTCCATTTTCACACTGCTGATATGGACATACCTGAGACTGGGCAATTTACAAAAGAAACGTTTATTGGACATACAGTTTCACATGGCTGGAGAGGCCTCACAATCAAGGTGGAAGGTGAAAGGCACGTCTCACGTGGTGGCAGAGAGGGGAACAGAGTTTGTGCAAGGAAATTCCCCTTTTAAAAACCATCAGATCTCATGAAACTTATTCACTATCATGAGAATATTGCAGGAAAGACCCGCCCACATAATTCAATCACCTCCCACTGGGCTCCTCCCACAACACATGGGAATTGTAGGAGTTACAATTCAAGGTGAGATTTGGGTGGGGACATAGTCAAACCATATCAGCTAGATAAATAGATTAGGGGTGCATGAGTAACACAACAAGTGGACAAAATTAATCATTCTATACGTGCTGTTCTTTAGCTTGGTTTTTCTTTTCAATACATGCCAAAGACATCATTTAATAACTGTATATGTGCATCATCATTTTTAATTGTTACACAGTGTTTCACTGGTATATATG